GGCCGAGGAGGGCGAGCAGCAGCGGCAAGGCCAGGCGGAGAGGTCCCATGCTGCAGGAGGCTTGTGGAGGCGGAGGCTCTGGGTGCACCGAGGGAGGCAGAGGCAGAGGCGCTGTGAGGCTGTAGCGAGCCACCCGCCTGCTTTTATGGGCCGGCGGCGGCGGGCCGAGCCAATGGGCTGAATGGGAGCCCTCCACAAACAGGGACATTCCTGACATTCCTCCCCACCTTCCTGCCTCATCAACTCGCACCGGATTGATCCTGACCCCTTGACACGCCGCATTCCTCCTGTCTGCCAAAGCTGGCACGCTCCCGCGCACAGAAAGGGCGCTGTCTTTCCACCGCCACATGGGAGTTTGGGGTTTTTTACTCCCCCCCACTCCCTCGTGCCAGTCTCCCCCCCCACACACACTGCCCGTGCGCACCGGATCACAGAAGCAGCAGCAGGGATGGAAAGGGACCTCCAGAGGTCAGCTAGTCCCTGCCTGAGGCAGGATCAGCCCCAGCCAAACTGTCCCATAGGACCCATAACCTCTCTGACTAACTACCCCCAAGCCTGAGAACGCAAGACCTCACAGCGCAGCCTGCCACAGGGAAAGCAAAGCAACCACCCCAGCCCATGTCATAGACAAGCAGGGCTGGAAGGGACCCCAGAGGTCACCTAGTCCAACCCCCTGCCTGAGGCAGGATCAGCCCCAGCCAAACTGCCTCATAGGATCCACGAATTCTTCAGCTAACTACCCTCAAACCTGACACAGTGCAAGACCTAATACCCCAACCTGCCACAGGAAAAGCAGGGCAACCGTGACAGTCAACACCATAGAAAAGTAGGGTTGGAAGGGACCCCAGAAGTCATCTCATCTACCCCCCTGTTTCAGGCAGGATCAGCCTCCAGCCAAACTGCCCCATAGGATCCATAAACTCTTCAGCTGACTACCCCCAAACCTGACACAGCACAAGACCTAACACCTCAACCTGCCACAGGGAAAGCAGGGCAACCACCCCAGCCCACAAGGAGGGATGGAAGGGACCCCAGAGGTCATCTAGTCCAAGCCCCCGCTAGAGGCAGGATCAGCCCTAGCCAAATTGTCCCACAGGATCCATAAACTCTTCACCTAGCTACTCGCAAGCCTGACACAGCACAAGACCTAACACCCTAGCCTGCCACACAGAAAGCAGGGCAACTGTGACAGTCAGCATCACAGAGAAGCAGGGCTGGAAGGGACCCCAGAGGTCATCTAGTCCACTGCTTCTCAACCTTTTTTTGTACCAGGACTCATTTGTAAACATCGATGGCCGGTCCCGACCCAGTGCCCCTCACTCCTGACCTGCTGCTCCCTACCCCTAGTCCCCCAGTGTGTGGGGCAGGGGATGGGTGTGCGGGATGGGTGGGTGCATGGGGAAGGGGGGACCCCAAGCAGCCTCTCACAGTCTGGACCTCTGCCAGCCTGCAAGGGAAAACCACAGTTTTCCACGTTTTTCTCCTTTAAAGGAGAATCCATTTAAAAATTTTGTTCGCAAACCTTTCATATATTCTTACAACCCACTTTTGGGTTGCGACCCATGGGTTGTTGTCCAACCCCCTCCTGGCCTGAGGCAGGATCACCCTGAGCCAAACCATCCCATAGACAAACAGGGCTGGAAGCTCATCTAGTTTAACCCCCTACATGAGGCAGGATCAGCCCTAGCCAAACCATCCCATATGATCCACAAACTCTTCACAAATTATCCTCAAGCCTGACACAACACAAGGCATAACACCCAAAACTACCACAGGTAAAACAAGGGACTACAGCAATCAATGTTGTAGGCAAGCAGGGCTGGAAGGGACCTCCAGAGGTCTAGTCCAACCCCATGCCAGAGGCACCTAGCCTGCAAAGGTGCTTACCCCCCCAGCCAGGGCCCAGAGCTACCCCAAGCCAAGAAGGTCCCCCCTCAACACATCAAGGAAAGGAATACTTAGTTTCCTTCATGCTTGCTCTTTGTTTTGGCCTGACGTGACTTTCTGGCCACTTTGGGCTGTACCCACCTTCACAGAACATCAGTGCCGTGAAGGGACATTTGACGAGCAAGCTAGCAACCACTAGGAGTCCCAAACCAGGCGAGATTCAACACAAATATAGACGGACAGGATGCACTGGAACCACAGCTACCTCCAGCCCTGCTGACAAGAAAGGAGCTGTTCTTAAACCCACAGGAGCTTAAAAGAAACTGCATGCCAACTCTGTGGGCACTATATTCTTCCCTGCAGAAGAAGAGAAGCTTGTGCAAGGGGGCTGTTAATAACCCAGAGGATTACAACTACCCTTATCTGAAGCACTGTAAAGTAAGAGGGGACTCAGCTGCCTAAGTAAATGGCAATTGTTATTAATGGCGTTTGACTTCTTCCAGAGCTGACTGGTTGTCTGCAATTTAAAAATGAACCTTTGATTTTTCAGGGCAGCTTCCAATATTCTCTTCTTCAGGGAAACACACTCTTTAATTGTTCCAGAGAAACATCATCATCCAGAGTAGGTAGGGATCTCTTGTTTGACTGAACATTAATGCTGCGACAGGCAGCCTGTGCAGGTTGGGGGAGGGTAGAGAGGTTGTGGGGATGGTTGCTAGGAACAACCACGGGAATTCTGTATTTTTCTTTCTTTTTTTTACTTTTTTTCCTCTTGACAAGAAAATACAGGACACCAGACTTTTCAAAAGGTGGATCACTATCTGCTGACTTCATTCCAGAGTGGGAAACGGACTGTCTTAGACTTAGACACATTTTTTAACATGGGGTACTGGTTTTTGAACAGCATTTTTTTACTACCTAAAAAGGCATAATTACATCATGAGGACTGGCTGTAAATTGACTTGGTGTACTACTGAATCATACTGAATATTTGTAATGTGTTCCTTTCCTAATAGATGCTCTCTATGAATAGAAAGAAGTGCCTGTTTACTCTGAAATATTTGGCCCAATGAAGAGAGTCTGGGGAATGGAAGAAGTGGCTATTATTTTCCCACTGCGTGTGTGCAGCTGTCATGTGTAAGCAACACAATCTAAGCACATCTCTGCTTCCTAATCTTGCTGATTATCCCTTCTAAGATGACAAAAAACATGGCTTGCCACCAGAATCTGTAATTCCTGAACATCTTGCTCCTTATTACACAGCCAGAGATAACTTCTGTTTTTATTTATTTTAGCAGAAAGGATGGCTTCCCAAGGAGGCATCATTTGTCTATGCAGTGATGTCATCTTGTTTGACCTCTGCTTTAATCCAGGGAATGCCTGCATGTTGACTTCTGACCTGTTTAAGTATGCTTGTGTTTAAAAGGACAGATAGACTTAATACATCTTGTTGGGCAAACTGAAGTGTTGATGGTGGTTATTTTTAAAGATATTTACATGTAACCGCTCCTCCATCTGACATTTTCACACTGTGATACACCAATATGTTTTTTGCTGTCTAAGTATATCTCAAAGGCTCTCATTTAAAAATCTAAAACACTATGTTACACAGCAAAAGTTTATTTGTATCCTATCTACACTAGTCTTTGCCTGATAGCTACGGCTATGCCATTTCTTCTACTGAAAATTGAATTTTTCAGAAACTTTATAACTTGGCCAGAAAAAAAAAATTCCAGAGGAATACTTATGGTAAATAACACATGTTCCCAAACTTAAGAGGCCTCCCAAATCCGTATTTACCTGACAGACCATGATGGTCCCAGTGCTGAGTAAATAATATGCATACCAAACTATGTATAACATGCATACCAAAATGCAAATGTAACCAGGTAAACAGAATGCCTTTTAAAAATGACTAAATATGGTAGAAAATCAGCAGAGAGAAAAAGAGAGTCTCTAAAAATGTTTTATAATTTTCCATGTAAGAATACTTTCTTTACAGGGAAGCAGTTTTATTAAACAAAAGCTTAAGACATGCATTGATGGACAAAAAATGTTTAAAAGTAACAAACTATCACAAAGCCAGGAAATCCAAAGTTAAAGGCTAAGTCTCTTCTTAAGTCTCATCATACTGCAAACCAAATATACCAATCCTCATCTTGTTATTTCTCTGAGAAAACTGACTTAAGGAGGAGTTGTTCTGCCCGCAGGCCTGATTCTGGCCTTAAAATGCTGTAAAGTGGGAGTAAACCCCTGGAGGTCAAAGGCATTTAAAAGGCATAAATGGGATCAGCATCAGACCTTGTGGGATTTGGCTTTGTGTTGTCCTTACACTGTAATAAATGACTCATCAAATGTTGTGGGTGTATGTGTGCGGGAGCTGAGGTAAATGGAAAGCAGAGTTAGTTCTTTTATAACACTGTCCTTCATTCTCCTATCCTCATAGACTGACAGCATCTTAGAGACATCCTGGAGTTGATGTATAAAATAGTTAAAATGCACTGATTTTGACTTATATGCAGGTGTTTATATAGCAAATGCTTTTTAGACAGTATATTTTTTCTGAATTAGGAATTCACTACATTGGCAGCACAGACCTGTTTACACAGCTATATACGGTATGTGTGTGTCTACATCGGCTTTGGTTGGTACAGTTCCTTTGGTTAAGTCTTGTAAAATGTACAGGTGTGGATATGCTGCATTCCTTCCCTTATGTTTTTCCTTCTTTTTTTTCATTTCTCCCAAAAAAGTCACTTGATCAGGTATCAGACATACTGAAAACCTGGCAAGACTACAGGAAAGTGGCTAGACTTGGAGTGTTTGTGTACTTAAAGAAAGAATCTTGCACATTTTCAACTTTCAGTCGCAGATATTTTCTTATAAGAGCAATTGGAGGTTTGAACCAGCCCTCAAAGCGGAAATCAAAAGCTCCCAGAGAAACATACCCAAGGAATGTGAATCTGCTCCAAAAACCATACGCAATGCACACACAGTACTGTCAGCCTTATAGGAAGTCTGGCCGTATATGGACATCTGTACCCTAAGCTATTTATCAACCTGATGGTCTTGTAGTTGGCTGCAGATATTTCTAGCTTGCCTTAGGTTTAACAACGTTCATTAATTCCCCTCCCCAAAAGCTCACCAGAATGTCTTTTAAAAATCATAATAAACATTACCTTAAAATGCTAAGAGTACTAGTTAAACTTATATTAATGTGTATTTGCTCAAAATAAAGACTGCAAGCAAGATCTGCTGTGTTAGCTGTGAAAACGAAGTGGAAATGAAGTAAGGATAAAAAAGTATTTGCTTTATCTTGAATTTGCTCCCCTTGTTTTTATATTTTTTAAGAATGTTTGGCATCTCATTCAGTATATTCAGAGGTATAGAAAAGTCCCTGTATGGGATAATGAATGCTACTGATACAGACACATTTTTCTTAGCATCTGCAAGTAAATTAGGGAAGGGAGAGAAAATAAAGAGAAGACACCATTTTACTTTTCCTGAGAACTGCCAAATGGATTTTCCATGGTTTCCATCTAGTTTGCAAAATTTGTAGTGCTATATAGTATCGTGTGCCAGATCTTCACTTGGTGTAAGTTGTCTGTAGTGGAGCTACGCCAGTTTATACTACCTAATCCAACCATCTGATTTTACTTGCTAAAGGGCAGTAAGTTTTCTTAGAAGTGTACTAGAAGAAAGAGATTGGGTGGTGTAGGGATTGGGTTATGATAATTATTTGGTTCAAATCCAATACAAGTTGCTTGAGGTACAGAGTCAAACTCTCTTCTAGCATCAACTGGTACATCTCCATTGAGCTTAAAATTATCAGTGTAGAATTTGGTCTCAAAAACTTATCTATATGACATTTTAGGAAATAAAGTATTGTTCATTAGATAAAATAAAATTAGAACATAATATGCAATTACTTGTTCCTGGGTCTCTCACATATTCTAATAATAGATATGCATTAAGGGCATGTTTTTATTGTTTTTAGGGCTCCCTCTACACATGCAGATAAAGATGTTATGGGATCTACACTCACGCCTCTTGCTGTCCCATATGTGGGTTCTCTGAGCATTTCCATGGCTGTGAGACTGCAAATGATGCAGTTGAAGCACCCTTGAACTTGGGACCTCACAGCTTCAGGGGTGCATGGAGCACCTCCACAACTAGGACACCATGTCAGGTGTAGCCTCCCTGCTTCAGGGACCCCTGGGACGCCCCCAAGGAGATCCCAGGCTCAGGAGTCCAAATGGCCCCCCACAACTGGGAGGCTCAGTGAGCTGACAGGGCTCCCAGCCACAGAGGCCCCTGGCCACGTGTTCAATTAATGGCATTATAAGAAGCAGCTACAAAGTTATTACACATATTTTATAGCTTATCCTCTTTTTATCACACCATTAATTAAATGAATGTGTGGCCAGGTGACCACTTGAGGCGTGATTAACTGGTTAATCACACCTTAAGTGTAACCTGTAGATGGGGCCTTAGTGTCACTAAAGATACAGATTTAGACTTTTGGTTTAATGCTCTAAGTCAGGATTATTTTTCATGGACACATATGGTCCTTATATGATAAAGTCCTTACTGGAAATCTTAATGAAAATAATCAAAACAGTGTGTAAAACATCCCACAATGAAATGCCATATTAAAATGGAATTTCCCATAACAAGACCCAGGCTTAAATTTTCTGGATTAACCTGAAACATTTTCCATTAAATATTTCAGCAGTGTGGAGAGGTTTATTCATTCACTGCATCAATATAAAACTTAGCAAAGCCCTAAGTGTTTTCAGGGAAACAGAAAGCCCTGAACACAGGTCATAGCATATGAGTAGAGAGAAGTGACTTTCAATCCAAATCCTCATTTTTAACAGAAGTTGTGTGCCCTCTGGCAGTGGTAAATCCAGCGTGTGTAGAGCTGTCTTCACCCAGTTTTGACAATGGTCTTATAGCTATTTTGCACAACCCAAAGGGGAAAAAAAGGTGGAGATAACTGGAGAAAGGATCATTTACCATTAAATACTGTATGTAGGAGGTATCTTTTAATGCCCTTCTCTGAAGGAACCTCTTGGGAGAAAGCTGGTAGACAAGTAGTCTTGAATGGACTGTGCCTAATTTCTGGTGTTTGAACAGCACTGTAGTTGAAGGTGAATGCTTTTGCTTATACAGAAGTCTTGATATCAAGTGGAGGAAATCAGACCATTTTGTTTTAAAATGCATTTGTTTATATTTTCAAAAGTGTGCATATATTCTATTGGGATATAATCAACGGAAAATATGCTAAAAAAGGAATATAAGATGTTAGATAGTGTTCCCATTGACATTTAATTTTTACGTTCACTTCTATTTAAAATATGAAGAATGTTGCATTATGCATCCATTTTCCTACTCCTTTAGTTTTATCCAAATTTTTGGTTTTGAATCACTTATTTTGGTATTAGTAAAAGTCCTTGTAAAGTTTAATAAAAATAATACGATATAATAGTATCAAAATATGTTTTTTGAGACTTTTAAGGTCATTTTACTGCTCATCATATCTAGAACATTATGAATTTCTTTTACTAGAATGCAGACAGGGTGATCCCATATATGCTTGTGTGATTTGTTTATTTAAATAAAAGCCAAAATGTTCAAACAGCGTTCCTAAACATAGCTACCCCTGTCCATATTCAGTTGTGTAAACAGTTTCACTTTCAAGAAATTTCCAGAAAACACTTTTGAAGTGCGCCACTTGAACTGAGTAATAAAGAGCCATCAAGTCATTCTGAACCACCCATCATCATCTCAGTCATTCTTCTGTCCTGTTCTGCACTGAATTTTTTATGGTGTCACCATTGAAAATGAAGAAAACCCTTTGGAAGAATTGATGGCTTGACAGTTCTGCTGTGCTGCTCGGGCAGGAATTTGAGGAGTTGTGCCTGAGAGCATCCGATTAATGTGTAATGACAATTTTTATTAGAAACCTGTAAGCAGAACCTACTGGGTGAACTGTATGTAGGTGTATGTGGGATCATTTTTGTATGGACTACATCCCTGTTTCTACACCACTGATTGAACAACGTTTTTGACTGAAAACCATTGTTGCCCTACATCCAGTACTCTCTTTTTTCTTGTATTCTGTTTTTAACAAACACAACACAAAGGAAAAGTATATGAAGAACCTTTAAGTGAAATGATAGATGGGGCCAGCCTTTGTAATTTTGAACTCTCAGTTTAGGATAGTCTTTGTAATAATGTAGGAAATTTCAGCTTCTGAAAAATACAGAGCCTTAGAACCCAAGGTTTGAAAAGGACTGCAAAGGTCATTCTAGTCCAAGCTCCCAAACAGATTCAGGATACTTTATTCTGAAACCTTCCCAGACAAAGGCATTTTGCAAAGGAGTACTTCTGAGCACAATTTAAAGCATCAGCTATTTATCAAAAGCTGATAATGTATCCTGGACTGTACACAGAAATACATTCCTTGCCTTGTAGATTTTAAGGAAAACATAAATAGGCTAGAATTGCATTCATAAAGCCCTAAAATGTTATGGTACCAAGTTTTTAAGTAGAACACCTTTTCCTGTTAAGTAAAGCCTGCTGGGTCACTGTTGTCAATCCATAAATTTTAAATGAACTCTCTGAAACTGACTTAGTGCAGCCTTTTTACTACAAGGCTCAAAACTTTGCAACCCATTCCATCTGGGAACCCAACCTGGAGAACTCTAAAGCATACATGATCTGGCTAGATTAAGTCTTTTAATTAATAATGGGATTAAAATAGCAGCAGGGTGTGATGATTTGTATATTTTTTAATTGCTGTGAAAGGGTTAGATACCAAGGAAAGTGGGGAATAGGAATATTTACATCCATCTGTGTAAGTAATATACATTATATGTGCATATCTGGTTTATAATATTTTCATGTTTGGTTTTAAATGAATGCCCAGCTCATGTTATCTTTATGAATGATAGCTCTGTTAGTTGTCAGTGGACGTGTCTACATGAGACATTGCACAGTAGCTCGATACCTCTGTGCAGCAGCTTGTTATTACTGTGCAGTACTGTCATCAGGCACAAATCATAACATGACACTACTGCACAGTAGTAATGAGCTACTGCACAGTAAGCATCATTAGGCAACCATGCTGGGATGCTACTGCACATTAACACTGGTTACTGTGCAGTCATTTAGTACTTGGTTATGGCAGTACTAAATGACTGTGCAGTAACAACTGTGTAGTGGGCAGCTTGTATAGATTCACCCAGTATGTTTGTGGCTACCTATGATACCTGGTTATCCACATCATTTAAAGAACCACCTGAAAATCGCCTTAATTTAACAGTGAAAATGAATTTGTTTTCAATTGGTTTGTTTTATAACTAGGAATATTTTTGTTGGGAACGTTCATTAGGGTCTGGATCTTGGCTGCCTTTAAAATGGTGTCTCTTTCTGCTTTTGCTTTCCATGTGAGGTGGTGGAGTGGGCCTATCCTAGATTTCTATATTTACGATTGTGAGTAGAGTGTTTTCAGTGAAGGCCCAGTCTCTGGAATGTATTTCGCTTCTGACACAGCCTGAGTGAATTGACCTTGGTATAATAGGGGCAAGGATGTTCTGTTTACTCAGACCTTCCTGACGCAGTAGACGAGTTAGATTATTGTGTGGGTGTCTAAATTGTAAGTATGCTTAGACATTGAGAGGCAAATTATATTGACTGGTCAATAAATGAACCTAATGACTGTAATATATTAGCATCTTATTTCAAAGACCGCTTAATTTTCAGGAAAATGGTTCCAGATGGTTCAGTTGCCAGCATCACCGGCTGGTTTCTCAGTTAGTGATCTGTGGTATGTGCACTGTGTAAATACAACTATACAAGTGACGCAGATGAGGAAACTAAGGTATAGCCTAGGGTGGCCAAAGATATGCTATTGTGGCTTCCTTATTGACCTACAGATGTATGTGAAATTTAACAACTAAAGAATCAGGTAACAAAATGTCTTATAATCATAACCCCACCAGTGTCTCTGGAAATTTGCCGTTAGACAGTTTGTCACATGCAGATGAAGAAAGTAGAGTTCAGGAGAAATGTATTTTGAGGAAAAGGAGGGAAGTGAAACATGAGGCATATTTTTTAGATATCTTAATTTCCTTTGATAATTACTGGGTTTCCATTTTAAATGCATTATACATTAGTGGTCTAGAAGACTAGTGTTCACACTAGTGTTAGTACAGACGCAGGGTGCCCTTAATATAGTGAGCATAAAAACAGTTGTAAAAAT